TGTGTGTGTGTGTGTGTGTGTGTGTGTGTGTGTGTACATGGGATGGAATGGAATGGTATTGAAGAGATGGATGGTTTGTTCCGTCAACTAATAATTTTTAATTTATCATTTCTTCTGGATCCGAAAGCAGTGGAATTTGTTTTTCATTTTTACTTTTTCCCATATTAGATATCATCAGATCATTCTCAGTGATGTTTTTAAATATGCAAATATATGTACATATGGTAATCATAAAAGTATACTTTTACAAAGATGGAATGCATTACTATCAGAAAGGGACGAGTCAAATTTATCTTTCCATTTGTTTTTCATTTTATGAAATAATAAATGGCGTTTGTAAATTAAATTATTGAATAGGAACTTAAAATATAAATTAGTAAAAATGAAACGATTATAGCTAATTAATAAGCGAATGAAATGTTTTGGTGGCATCAATGGGCTAATTATTAAAATATGTGTTTTATACTATGTATGTCTGAAATTTTAAAAAAAGCGGCGCTATTTGTAGGCATTGTTAAAATGATGTTTTTTTTTTATCCAAAATAGTCATAAAGAGCTTATTTCAAAGCACAATTATCAAAAGCTTTCAATTCCATTTCTTATTTTGAAATAATTATCATTATCATTTGTATCAACATTCCTGCATTTTAATTTTCACTTTTTACGTACATATCTTTTTATTCGTCATCATTATAAATAGACGATAATGCAAAAGGCGTCCGTACTGAATTGATTTTATGTTTTTCACTTTTTACGGTAGATGATGAAAAATTTTGAGAAGAAAGATATGAAAAGTTGAAAGGAAAAAATAAAACAATTTTTATTTAATGTTCTCTCTCTCTCCCTCTCTCTCTCTCTCTCTCTTTGTTCACGAGATATTTTCCTGAACAATCCTGTAACGTATGCTATTGATAGAATATCTTCGAGTGAATAATCATTCTTGAGATTAAGCTCTTATTATTTCTTTTTTATTATTTTGATTAAATTCTGTTCAAGTTAAAATTTCAATAATAGTGATTGAAGTGGATTAATAAATTTAGGACAGTGGAACATTTCCGTATACATTTTTCGGGAAGACTATTGTTAATAATATCTCTAATATTCTTTTTTCCTTTCCATTTCATCCTTAATGATTATCCATGAGTGAACCTAAATTTGAGTTTGATCAATTAGTTCAATCTTATGCAAATTAATATGAAAGCTAATCAGTGATTTTTGAGAAAATCATGAATTAATTTTTGCAAAATATTTTTTTAATTTTTTTTTTCAAAAAATGGAAGAAAAAAAACATTTTAATTTTTGCTGTCATCAAAAATAAATCCTTCAAGGACATTCAAGCGTTTTTTTTTCTGATTAATGCTTGCATAACTTTGTGTGTTATATTTCGTTGTGCTTGAATCATTGGTGACAGATCACATTCATGAATCATTCAATTTTTTGATTGAAACTAAAATGAAATGATAACTCATAGTTTTATGAGTTAACATTCCGCTTTAAAAACTCAATTAGTTATTTTCTCTTCATTTTACATTCCTTAACAATACTTATCATATAAATATGCTTTTATTTTTCCTTCTGCAAACTAACCGTTCGATTAACTCTTTTAGAAATTGTAATGTAAAAGTTATAGTTTTTAATGTTACCTTGGAAATTAGTAAAACAAAAAACAAAAAAGAAAGCAAGAAAAGAAGTAAAAATGAGACAAAAAATGTGAAAGTAATACCGTACATTTACAATAAAAACAAATAATATTTTCATAAATATATAATTGAAAATATAAGAGGTATAAAAGATAAAAATTTGATAATAATTTTACCCAAAGAAAAAATTCTTCCTACTCAGAATTTAAACCCACAGTTATCCTCTGGCCTTTAATTTTTTTTTTTCTCACTAACCTTGCAATGCTGTTAATAAGTAATGGTATATGTATTTGAAAGGCTGTAAAATTCATTAAATTAATGATAGTGTATCGAAACATGTATGCAATCACTGACGAAGAATCACTGACGAGACACAGTTTTCTCTTTTGTTAACACTATCAATATACCTACCTATCTATCTACCTATCTACTTGCCCATCTGCCTATCTATCTACCTGTCTACAGGTTTACATTCCATCAGAGTTTTGATCGGAGGGACAACTGCACTCGCTAATCATTCGATTACCCCGTCTTCCCGAATAAATTTTTTCCCCTCTCTTTTTTTCCCTTCTTTTTTTCTCCTCCATTACCACTCTCTCATCCAGTTTTCATTCTTTAACTTTCCTGTTCCGCTATACTTTCATTCCACCTTTCTTGACTATCATCTCTTTTTCGCAAAAAAAAAAAAAGAAAAATTTCAACAAAATTTCTCTCAATTGTTTATAAATTATCAAAAACAAGTATTTAATGTAGAAGTAAACAAAAAATTTTTAACTTATAAAATCACTCATTGTAATCAATTGATCATAACAAAACTTTCAAGAATTTACTTATTGTGCTATTTAGGATGAGATTTTGTTGTAAAAAAGTAATAAAAATATTATTGAAATATCCAAAGGTATGATTTTGAATTCGTCAGAAATTTGATGTAGTATTGATAAAACATTTTCGCGCTGCTTTATCTATTTATCATTGTTGATTTCATGTCATCTTTATCACTA